CGTCTTTAATTTGATAGGCTATATTTTTATCATATTTATGTCTTAAATTTATTCCAGCCTCCAAAGAAATTTGCACTCATGTTTCAATGTTTTCCATTTTTTTTATTTCGATTTTATTTCAGAGGCTTATTTACATCACTACATTTGTTTTTTGTTTCTGACAATGTGAACTTTATGAAATCAAAACAATGATTCCTTCCTTGTCTCGACTTTTATGTGTTGCTGTGTCTCTGGAGAAAATTTTCTATAAGTGTGTAAAATTGTCCGGGGATTTGTTTCTCTTACTTTGGATATGCTCCAACGGTAAATAACTGTAAAATACAGTGATTTGAGAGAACAGTACCCAATATCATGTATATTTGAACATTCGTGTCATAAAATAAATAAAAAGCGAAGACCACTTGTGTACTTATGTACTTCTGATTCTGTGTGTTGTCTCTTGAACTCTTTAAGATTGTCTTTTAGATGATTCTTTGCTTTCTCAGACATCTGGCTTGACAACAATTATAATAAATCTGCACTTAAGTACTTCTGATACAGCAAATCAGTAGCACATTGTTTGTTCCTCATGTTATCTGACTCCGAGGTTCATATCAGTTTATACACAGCATGTCCCTAATGCAACTGAATTGTGGCGCATATTTTAAACTTCGACAGGTGTTACCACAATAAACGCATGGCCTTGAAAACCAACAAAAAAAACTTCAATTACAAAGACGTGGGCTTGTTTTCCTCCACATTTGGGGTTCCAAAGTTCAAGGGCCTCTTGATCACATGGTCAGCAGTTGGCGGGAGAAAACACTGGTATGATTCTACAGAAGCCTTTGTGTTGCAATCATTTATTGACTGAAGGAAAACGAAATTTGCATATTAATTTTAATCTTTAACTTTTGTGTTTACCCTTAACCTTATCACCGGCATAACTTTACTTCTTTCTTTCAACTCATAGTAAAAAGAAAACAAAGCTGGTATTTGCATAAAATATTTTAGTTAGCACGAGGTGACCGTATGATTTGGAGCTAATGTACAGTATATGGAAATTTCATCAGCAGGGATAAGTTACTCATGAGAGCAGGGCAAGAGTTGAAGAGGATTGTGAGTCAGACGTCAGGAACATTTCCAAACCCGGAGAGAGTGGCTGCCTAAAACCACGGGAACATTCCGCCTCTCCGTGTTTTTATTCCTGTTGTGCTGTTGACTGAGTGCATAACAAGACAGCAAACGGGAACTAAAAAAGCTTTGAGTTCTGGCCAATATGCGACCACTTTGATGGCAAACTATAAGGGTTTTGGAAAGTGCCAGGTTCAGCTCCTAAAACTTAAAAACACATGCACGTTTGTGAGTGAATCAAATATACATTTTACAGGTGGGAGGATGAATTTTGTATTTATTTGCTGGTAGATATGGCAGACTGGCCTGGATCTGGTTTAACCAGACAACATGGCTCAATGACAAGTATAGCCTATGGAAGCCTATTTCTGCCACATAAGGAAAATAATCATGCATTGGTAAATCATAATTATGGCATAAAAGATGGAATTTATAAGACAAGTCATTCTGAGATTAAAAAAGACAATGATGTAGTTTACTGTCATGATCACCAGCTGGAGTGCCCTTGAGCGCCACCAGGGCGCACTGCATCACGGACTTCATTTCCCATCATCCTTTCCCCGGACTCATCTTCCATTATTGTTTTCAGCTGTTTCTCATTAGTCTCATCATTAGCTCACCCTATATAAAGCCCGGTCAATCAGTTACTACTAGATTTTGTTACATGAATGTTGCACATGAAGCCATTAAGGTGTTCACCAACAAGCTTTTGCCCTTCCATCAAAGACTTCATTTCCCATCAACCTTAGTCTGGACTTATCTTCCATTATTGTTTTCAGCTGTGTCTCATTAGGTCACCCTGTATAAAGCCCCGGTCTATCAGTCACTGCTAGATCTTGCATGTCTGTTGATGGTACTGAGCCTTCTATTCTGGTTTTCCCATGTCTTGTTTTTTTGATTCTCAGCCTGGCCTTTTGGATTTCCCACTTTACATCTGCCCTTATCTCAGTCATTGTTTGGATTGTTTATTTGTGTATGACCTTTGCATGGACGTGGATTACGATTGTGGATTACCCTTTTAATAAATACTGCTTTTGGATCCTTAACGTTCGTATCTCGGAGCAGTTTCATAACATTTGCATTATGAGAAAACTAAAGATCAATTGATAAAAGTACAATTACATGAAGTCCTTATTATATAGTGTAAGTTGAACTTTTTCCGAAATGTCAAAATGAGAAGACATAATTATGACAAAGTTGTAATTACTTGTCATAATTGACTTGTTTCAAAATTATGAGTAGCATTTGGTTTCAACATCTCATAATTTCAATTAATTTATTAAATAGTATCTTATACTTTCTACTTTTGTCATACATATTTTTCTCATAATTTTGACTTGGTGTCTAATTTTGTCCTTTTGCATCAATTATGACTTAACTTTTCCATTTGTCAATTTTGACTTATCTCTTAATTAAGACATGTCATAGTTTTGACATTTTATGTAATAATTGTGAGTTTGTCATAATTATGATTAACCAAAATATGACGTTTGTCCATATGTTGTGGAAATGGCTTCCATATTTAGATTTTAAGAGACTTACTGACCTTGACAGTCATAAGGGTCTGCAGACCCCCTCTCAGTGATGTCATTTCCTGTTCTACATACTGGTTGCACCACACAACTTTGATTTCGCAAGCAAGTTTTTGACATTTTAAAAAGCAATGAAGCTCTTTTTTCTTTTTTTACAAATGATGAAAAATTATACCAAACTACAGTACTTTTTATGGTTTTCTTTCAAAGCATTTAATTCCTTAAAAGAGACTTTTTTTCTTTGTTATAATATCAGGATATCATGCATCCCCCTGACTTTTCTTGACTATGCCCCCTAAAAAATATCAGAATGAATTTGAAATAAAAAAAATCATAACATATTCACATCAGGTTGGGTTGGTTGGGTGTTGTTTTTGTTTTCATGCTAGTACAATCGGTCTATTATGACATCTCTACAACTGCCTGACAGCAGCTTTGAAAGGGCTCCAGGAATCGAGGACACCAAGTACACCTGATTTGCATGCAGGGTGCTGCGGTGGCTGCATGGAGGAGAGTGCATGGATGCCGAAACATGCCCTTGAGCTTCACTGATGACTGTTATTCAAAGCAGGCAGCGAGGGCTTAAAGGAACAGACACGGCAACTTTGTGCTCGAAAGCGAGAGGATGGTGATTTAGCGAAACTTCTGGCAATGTTTCAAACACCCCACCTAGGCTATGTCCCGAAAGCATTGCTATACGTGTATCTGCCCCATTTACCCTCTAAGACAGATGCCAAGTGAGCAATTATGAGTTGACAGTTAAGCAAGATAAGAATTACAGGCAAACAACTCACAGTTTAGCATTAAATAGAGTGACCTTCTGCTCAGAGAGACCACACACTAGTGGACCATAAGTTTAATCTGAAACATTTATCATTTAGCTACATGTTATTCCTCTGAGAATTGTAGAACTCTCTGGTCCAGGACCACAAAACCAATCTGGAGAAACAGTGCACAGTTTCCTTATCAGTTACATGTTCTACACGGCTGTCAGAAACAGGAGTTATACTCTTGAATATTAGCAAGTGAGCTTGAGGGAAATTAAGGTTTATTCACTGACATAAATGGAAAAAGCAGGAGCCTACAAAATATTTAAGTTAATGCATGGAGTTTCTCTTAAACACAGTAAATGGCAAACTGCTTGTTTGCGCTACAAACCAGTGTATTTATGATTGTAATAATAAATTACAATAATAGACAAATACCAGTTTGCACTTTGCAGTATCAAGCAGCATATAGAACTGTTTGTACAACTAAAATAACGACACCAGAAGCCTTGCACATTCAAGTAGCCTAAAAAATGGCTGCGCCCGCTCTTGTGTTAAAGATAGTATAGGTCCAATTCAATATTTATTTACTTACAACAACTTTTTAATAAAACGGTTATAAAATCTGACTGGATAAGCCTTGTTTGAAACATTGTAAAATGATCACACTCCTGCACATCATTTGAGTTCTGCCAACCTAACATTTGATTGGATGAAAATCTGTGTAGTGGGGGATGAGTCCTTTTTTTATCTGTTTACCATAAGTTCTGCCTTAATCATCCAAGTTAAAAAAAAGTCATTTTCAACTTAAATTACATTGACTTCAAAATTAGTTGAATCTTGCAAAAAAAAGTTTAAAATTGCTCGCAATGTAAAAACCTAATGTTGTCATAACTTATTGATCATATCATTTTTTTATAGTGTTCAAATTGGAATACGTGCTTATTAAATTCTGCACAGTATATACTCCCATATTTTTAAACAGCATAGGCTATATACTACATTGTATGTTTTATTTGTAATCCTATTTTGCATAACACGTTTTAACATTTAGAAATAGATATCAGAAATCATGGCTGATATTAGTTCACTCACCACACTGGAAATGGAATGGCAAGTCAAGTGCATTCCATTACAGTATTCCAGCACTGAGCTGTTGCATAGCTTTCACCAGCAAATAGACATATTAAACTTTTGATTTATGGGGTGTTCACACTACCTTACGACTTCAAAAGTAATTTATTTAATCTTCACTGCACCAAAGTGCTACAGAATTGAACAATAATGACAGATAATGATTGTGGCAGCACTTTATTAGTCATACTATGATCATGTACAGTACTTATTGCAATAGCTAGGTAGCCTACTAACCCCAAACCGACCCCTAAACTAACCTTAACCCATGTAGTTATATTGCCCAGTACATTCATATGTCTACACTGTAAGTGAACGTACTGTAAAATAAAGTGCAGCCGTGATTGTCTGGCTGTTATGAACGTCACCCCGTTTATATGTGGAATAACGTTACTTTGATTACGAGAACTGGGAGGAGCGTGTAAGAAACTGAGCAGCTTCCACATGACAGTAGTGCAGTGGAAACACAGGGAGAGCAGCAGTCGAGGCGTTGGTGAGTGAGTGAACATCATGGGACATGCTCTCTGGGAATGACCTACAGCAGTCTGGAGCTTCATCCCTTCATCCAGGAGCGCACAGACGTCTGCTGCTGATCCTCACTGGACAATACAACAATAGTGAAGCTGAGATTACAGAGTCCTGTTTTAAAGTTTAGAATAATGAGAGTGAATTTTTCAGCTAGTTGGATATTTCAAGGATGGATCACACACTTCGTCCTTGCTCTATGCACGCAGGTATGTTTTTTGCGGATGATTCCTGTAAACCAAACTTTATTTTTGAATTGCACGGGATTAGGCTATATAGGCTAAACCGGGAATTTTTTTATGACCGGGAAAGTATTATTTTTCACTCTTTTTACTGGAAAATTCTTGGTGTAGTATATCCTCATCCTCACAATGCCAAATTGCCTTAAACTATTCATTTCAGCACTTTGTTGGGAAAATGGTTTGTGTAGGCTACATTTGGCGATCTAAGATTCGTGAACGACTTGTTCTTTTGAGTCGGACCTTTGCAGTGAATCTTTAGAACCGGTCTATCGCTTCGTTCGATCTGACTGAATCGGCCCAAACGGTTCTTGTGTTAACAACTCAAAGCTGCTCATTGAACCGAGAACAAAACAGTCTCTGCCTTTCGAAAATGCTTAGTTCGTGTTCGTATTAATGAGCCGAGATCGGGTAATGTATGAGCACTTGGAGTGAAAATTTTTTGTTGTTATTATGTTTAATTTAAGATTATGGCTGCAACAAACTTAGCACACATTTGTGAAGTCCAGATGATGTCAAAAGAATTAATGAATCGTTTTGTTTTTAACCGGTTCATTAAATGAACTGTTCGAAAGAACCGTTTCGCTGAAATTAGTTTAATGTCCCATCACTTTTTTATTTTTTTTTATTTTTTTTTATTAAACATTACTAAGCATTAAAGAAATACAGATAAACATAAAAAAGACAAAAAGATACAGACACAAATAAGTAAAAAAAACAAAACAAAAAACAAGAATGTAATGCATTTACCTTAAGAGGACAAAAAGGATGAATATAGAGATACAGTTTTCAATGCTTTGGGATTACCAGAGCTTTGGATAGTTTTCATGTATTTGTCTAGATCATCTGTGAATAGAGAAAAGAGAGGTTTAGAGCCAGTACATTTTTGCTTATGTGAAATGTAGCTAGAAGGAAACACATATTAATTACCGGTATGTAATATTTTGTCCTGTTTTCTCTTTTGGGTAGTCAAACAAACCAAAGAAAACATCTTTAAAACAGAAAGAAAAGTCACTTACATAATAAGATTGGATAAACATTAACAAATCTGACCAAAATTTCTCTGTGTGGGTACATTGCCAACACAAGTGAATGACTTCTTCCTCAGGAGAGTGACAAAAACAGCAATTCACTTCAATGTCTGACTTATATTTCCTAAGAAAGGCTTTGGTTGGGTAACATTTGTGAATTAAATAAAATGTTATTTCTTTTACTTTATTGGTAAGCAGATACTTGTGAGACAAAGACCATACTTTTTCCCACGGTAAATTCTCTACAATATTATTCCAGTGTGGTATTACATAAGGAATTGTCATTATCTCTTTCTGGAAGAGAGCTCTGATTTTATAAACAAATTTTTTGTTGCTCTACAGAAAAGCATACATTTCCGATCATTGTGTCAGTTAGGTTCAAAGAGTAAGTACATGGCCATGGAAATGTAGAACCTTGCAACAGAAAAGACACTCCAGAGGGAATTGTATTGAAAACAATAGCATATTCATTTGCAGTTATAGGAATTTTATATTTCTGTAAAAAATAAAATAGTTGTAAAGTTTGCCCTGTGAATTAAAAAGCTGTCCAACTAAAAGAAGGTCGTTTTTGAGCCAGTTGTCAAAAAAAGTGATTTATTCTTGTAGACTAGAGAATATCCTTATTGTTCCATAAGTAATATCTGTGTGGGGAAAAGTTGTGTTTGTATATTAGGGACCATGCCAAGAGCATCTGCTTATGAAAATTAGAGAGTTTGACAGGGATCTTAGTTACATTATAGTTACAAAGTAGGAGAAAATTCAGGCCACCTACTTAAAGAAAATATAATTAGGGATAATATTCCAAAGTGAAGAGGGATTATTTATGAGAATTTTTTAAGCCAATTAATTTTAAAAGTGAGAGTAGAATTCTTCCTCTTATTGACAAGTCTCTCTGCAGCCAAGAATTGAGTTTCCTTTGGCTTTTCATTATTAGAGGATCGAAATTTAGTTTACATCTTGTTTTCTGGTCTTTATTAATTACAATTCCTAAGTATGTAACTTGATCTTTCACAGGGATATTGGGATATCCCATCACTGCAGTCTGCAGTCACTGCATGGCGAATTGGCTCACGCTGCCTAAAAATGTACCCTACTATCCGCTCACTGGGTTTTGAGACGCATCCAAACTCTTTCCTTCCCTGTCATGAGCAGATTTCTGTCAGATATTAGCTTTTCTGCACTTTTCCCTGAATTGTTGCACACTTTGAGGGGAATTCCATGTAAATATTTCTGGGATTCTGCTTTTTTCATTGTTTTGGATGGTCTTCTTAACCATAAGTGTGAAGTGTGTGGGTTTTTTGTTTATAAGGAATCATTGGATTTTTCAGCCAAATTTTGATGCTTATCAAATGTAAATTATCATTACATTCCCAGGATTTGTGTAAAACTCCAAACTGCATTTACATATGACCTTTTTGATTGAATTAGGCCACATGATGCAGTGAAATGTTTTTTCCCATGTAAACGTTAAGAAAATCCCTATTGTAGGAATTTCGTAACATATTTCTGTATTCTGGTTTGTGAAATGAGCTAATTTTACTGAAAGCCTACGTATTATTTTGTCAAAGCCCATTTTCATTCATTCATTCATTCATTCATTCATTCATTCATTCATTCATTCATTCATTCATTCATTCATTCATTCATTCATTCATTCATTCATTCATTTATTCATTCATTCATTCATTCATTCATTCTTTCAATTGTCTTTCTTAGTTGTCTAATGTCCTGTCAGGTCAAAAGTTTTAACATGTTTTCTGTTGCATCACACGCAGGCCTGAACTTGTGTTTGCCAGGTTGTAGAGTTGTGAAAGAAAATGATCTGGAAACTTAATTCTGGAAATGGTGCTTCTTCTTTCAACCTTCCATAGGGAGAATAATTTTCTTCAGATTCAGTGTTTTTGTTTAGATTTTATTTGATTTGACTTTAGTATCGTTAACACAGCATAGCTTTATGTTTGTTACCTCATCGTTATCTTTTCCTTTGCATTCATAAACAGAATGAATGCAAAGGAAAGCAACTGAATCATTAGAACTGTAGTGAACTCTATAGTGCTTTTGCCATATGCAGCTCAAAATGGTGAGACCTTGTGAGAAAAGATTTCTCCATGTCCGGTGTATATTTTCTAACATGTAATTTTTCAGGGCGTCACTGACCATGGGCTTATATATTTAGTCAATGAAAATATGTTGTGTTGCCTGAGTATAGCCTTACATTCAAATGTAGGTTCAGAAATGAACTGTAAACATTCCTTTGGTTTCCTGTGTTTTTTCACATTCATCCATCAAAAGGCCTTTAGGTTTTTTCAGCAGTGGTAGAAAAACCCTCAGAATAACATCTTTAACTATGATCAACGTCTTAACAAAAACGAAAAGGAGATTATTTTCAAGTATTCAAGTATACATGTTTCATGTTTCATTTCATGATTTTCATTAGACATACAGTAAAAATCATTGTTTTATATCAAGTTTCATGTAAAAGGACATAACCTGTTTCATCATTTGAATAAATTTGGGTTTTCCTTCCTGATTTTTTGTTATAGTGAACTGCACTAGTCACTTGTTTTGACAAAGCTTGTTGTCATCAACAAATCTGATAAGGATTATTTCCCCATGAATTTCCATGATATCCATGGATTTTTCTGATGATGGATAAATCCATTGATCCTGGTCACATAGGAAAATTAGAGAGAAAAAAGAAAGCATTCATATTTCATAAATCATCTTCTATAGTCCCCAACAAAAATTATTTCTCTTCCATTTCTCGCTTTTTAAAATATATATTGTATATGTTGGCTAGAATACAGAAAACTAAGGCTTTGCCAATGGTGCTGATTTGAAAGCATTTTTTTTTCTGTGCAAAAAAGTTGAATTTGAGCATTATTTCTATCTAAGAAACACTTCAGCCAAGTCCTTTCCACCTTCACCGAGAGCCCAGTATGCTGAGCTTGGCACTATTTTCTTTTTTATTGTCTTTTATATGAGTTACGGACGGTTTTTCTCAGATTTACGCTGAATTAAAGGATTGCATTTAATTCTGCCCTGCTGTTAAACCGTGGAATGCCTTTGTGGTATCTGGAGGGATGTGGGTGTTTTTTTTTGCTTTTCTTCTTGTTTTTTTCTTCCTCCGAATTGGGCAATACACCCCCTCCACACATACACATACAGACAGATACACATACACACACTCCCCCACTCTTTTTCATTCCCTGATGCTTTTACCACTCAAATTAGCATTTTGCCTTATAGATTCTCATTCTGAGAGCCAATGTTTCAACATGCCAAACTTTGTGTAGTTTTTGTAAATCACCCAACGGACTAGAGATACAGTGACCCTAAAAAAGTATTTGAATGCTTAAGACACAAGACAAAATGCCTGAATGCCATTGCATCAATTCTTCATTTTTTTTCAAGAAAGCCCATTTCACAATAGTACAAGAATAAATAGACTATTCAAAATTAAAATTACTTTATGTTGACTAAAAGTCTGGACCCTTTGGTTAAAAGCTATTATAAACCTAGCTCGGAAAATTGAAGATTGCTGTTTGTTTTATATTGGAATGGAAAGAAAATATCAGCAAAGAAAATACTCTACCATTCTTAAAATATTGTTTTAGAAAGACATCCCTTATGCTGAAGTATTAATTTATTTATAAAAAAAAGGTAGTGTAATTAATTTCTTTTGACAGGTTGTGTAAATGTAATATAAAACAGACAGATTTTGATTATTGCATTATTGATATTTTAACAAATTATTCTTTAATTTGTTGCGATGACACCAGGTCTGATCTTTTGACACAATTTACTCATATTTTGACTACCCCTCTCTCATGGTAAACATAAAAAATAATATAAAAACCTCCCATGGGTGACCTTATCGTATTAATATCTTACTATGATATTGAAGTCATCTTTGTTGCTGTTGATGTTACTTCATTCAGCAAATGCTTTTATGCAAAGTGACTTACAAATAAGGAACATCACAAGCATTTTATCATACAAAAGCCATCATGTTCGTTTAACTATCGTTAAACATTTCATTTCAGGCAGGACTGGCCATAAGCTGCCAACAGAATGAGTACGAGCACAATGGGGGATGCTGCCAAAAATGTGAACCAGGTGAGCAGTAATACAGACTAGTTAATCATACTATCAAGAACACTTCAAAAACAACCCATCCGTTCATTCATTCATTCATTTTATGGTGTGAGTGAAGCTGATGTCTGGGAAAAACAAGATCAGGTCAAAATTGGCTGTTTTTTCCCATTTGAAAAGCAGAAGGATGAGAGAAAGAGGAAGATGCCTTCACACACCCACAAGAACTATAACCTACCATGACTTCCCTCTACCAAAAAATAGAGAATATAATCTTTTGTGATATGTATTAACTGACCTTTTGCAAACCCATTTTACATTTTTAATTCAGAAAGATTTTCCTTTGAATGCAGGAAAATACTTTTTTGCCCATTGCGACGGGAGTCCGACAAAGTGCCGTGATTGTGGCCGTGATGAGTACCAGCCGGACTGGAACAGTGACACTAAGTGTATTCCTCAGAAGTTCTGCGATGAGGGTCAGTGTCACATAATGCGTGTGAAGAAAGAGTATGGTTTGATTTGGCATTATTTTTAAACACCTGCCATCGATCTTCCTCTGCAGGTAAAGGATTTAACCGCACCCTTCCACACAACCCCACCGCGGCGGAACCGTGTCGGTGCAAGCAGGGGTTCCACTGTTCTCTGATCAACTGCGAGTACTGTGAGGCCATTAAAAACTGTCCTGCGGGAGAAGGAGTCGTGATGGGTGGTAAGAGCTTGTGGTCACTCTACACAAAGTTCATCAGGAACATGTTTATGGGCAAATGAGAAAGATTCGTATTCTGGTAAATCATAAATGGTTAGTTCACGACATGAAAAACATGGAAGGTGTGAAAATGATAACAGAATTTTCATTTTAGGGTGAACTATCCTTTAGTAAGTTCATTCCGAAGTTTAAAGTGGGAGACATTAATCATGTGGCTTATAGATAGATGAAGTTTACCCGTAATTGAGAGTGCAGTAAATCAGTGGCTGTTCCAGCTCTGTGGTTTGGGAAGGTTTAGTGCCAAATGGAAAGGAACATCATAATACAGTTCTCAGAAATGAATGTAGACACACTATAGTTTACATTTTATCATTAGTATCTTGACATTTACACTTTGTAGATTATAGGCTCTATCTATCTATCTATCTATCTATCTATCTATCTATCTATCTATCTATCTATCTATCTATCTATCTATCTATCTATCTATCTATCTATCTATCTATCTATCTATCTATCTATCTATCTATCTATCTATCTGTCTATCTGTCTATCTATCTGTCTATCTGTCTGTCTATCTGTCTGTCTATCTGTCTGTCTGTCTATCTGTCTGTCTGTTTATCCATCCATCCATCCATCCATCCTTCCATCCATCCATCCATCCATCCGTCCGTCCGTCCATCCATCCGTCCGTCCGTCCGTCTATTTATCTATCCGTCCGTCCAGGCTTGATTGGCATTTACAATATTTTCACTGCTTATAGAACAAAATTGAACTGGACAATGCAATATTATACAACATTATACAACAGGAAGTAAATAAGATGCTAAAAACAGAAATACAAATGAGAAGAAAAAAAAATGAGTTTGAAAAATAAAAAGGAAATAAAGCTACGGGTTTTTTTTTCGCTTTGGTAGTATTTTCACAAGTACGGTGTACATTTTCAAAACTCTTTGTACAAAAATCTAAACTGATCACACTTTTAACACAGATAGTAATTATTTCAAAACCTGATTGTGGCGAGCAGGGCGAGGTCGAGGGCCGTGAGAGGACGGCGCGAGGCCGGTGGCGTGATTACAGTTTTTCTCAGTCGCTTTGGTGCATTTCTCACATCACTATTTACATTTGCACAACAGTTAATGCAGTTCTCAAAACAATTAGTACAAACTGCAAAACCTAGTTGATAACCTGCAAATGCGTGTCACTTGCTCAAAATGGATAGCTCATTCCTCAAAAGCAAGTATTCATGTCAATGAAAGTGTCAATGTCATCAAGATGAAAAGTCCTGACACCATTGTTTATGAACAAGATAGTCAAATGGCTTTGTCATGTTTTCATTATGACAGTTTACTCTGTAAATGTTTTCCAATGCAAAAAAGTCAGATCTTGGTGACACTACCTGAAAATGCTCAAGACAGCACTATATACTATTTGCACAGCCATTTTAAAACTACAGTAAAGTTACACATTACTGTATTTAGTGAGGTAACTCACAGTACAAGACACTGAATATGTATGTTTCACATTTTTACTGCATATGCTTTTTGCAATTCTAATTTGTTCACAGCATTGTCCAAAAGAAAAAAATACATTAAGGTGATGATACACAGGGCAACTTTTTGAGCAATGTTGCTGGGCAATGTTGCCGTCAACGGGCAACCAGATGAGACACAGGCCCCACAACCGACCTAAAGTATCCAGATAGAAATGTATTGCCCATTTTCAATGGGAAAGTGCCCAAGCAACAATCGCTCGGCAAGATTGCCCAGCAACATTGCTCAAAAAGTTGCCCTGTGTATCATCACCTTTATTTACAACAAACATAAACTCCCTTTGGGTAGAGCTGTGCACAGCTGTAAACAATATTGCAGTACATGAACTGAACATACAACATACATAGTACTGTAAATCATTCATGCACATCCATACGTTCCTCTCTGCTGGCCACATAAGTTCACCTGAGAGAAACTGTTAAATTTAGGAGACATTTTCATGAAAGAAAAAATATCTCTTTTTTTTTTTAATTTGCTTGACAGATTTTGACAACTAGTTCAACATTTTTGTATGTGATGACTCAAGCAATGAAATGAGGACTATTCGTTTTATATGGAATGACTATTCAGCATTCACAAGTATAGTTAATTTTGACTAACACGACATAAGCAAATGATAATGTTATAAAACAGCAGAGTTGTATGAAAGCAATTGATGCATGTCCAAAAGCATTCGCAATTTGTTGTAAGGAATGAGAAACTGCTACTATGATGTGCACAAATGACTAAATGTTGTGGAGGTTGAACTAACTGTTGTGCAAATGTAAATAGTGATGTGAGAAATGCACCAAAGCGACTGAGAAAAACTGTAATGATGAACGACACCTGTGAGACGCACCTGCCTCTCGATCTTCACAGTCGTCGCTCCTCTTTTATGCTTCCGCTCCTCCGTGAGAGATACGAGACTGGTGCGTCTCACAGGTGTCGTTCATTATCACTCACGCCACCGGCCTCGCGCCGTTCTCTCACGGCCCTCTGCCTCGTCCTGCTCGCCACACTGATCCTATGCTTTCATTACTGTTATACACATTTCAGTTCATTATTGTAATATGTAATGAGAACCTTTAGTTTAATCACCGAAACACAACAGTATGATCTTCTTTAAATTTAATAGTTTTAACAATCACTTCATTCAACAGCAGACAATGCAAGATACATGTTTCAAATCACCCTTGTTGGTGAAATAATTACAGTAATATAGACTACAGATGCCACATTAGAAAATACACTTACATTACCTAACTTATGTAATTGAATCCATAATGCTTGTAATAGTATCTATCTAGTGTGTTATCAAATGGTGTGATTTTTTTTTGTGCTAGAACAGAGTCTGCTGGCAGTACAGTAAATGCTCTCACTGTCCCATATGACTGAATCTATACTGTAGTTGACCTTTATAGGGGAGAGTTACAGTAATGTGAAAATCTCTACCATGGTAATCTGTTTACAGTATCACATGGCATACATACTGTAATGTTAAATGCTGTATTTGATGCCATCTGTCTCCCTTGATGCATCTCTGATCAATCTGACTGTTTCCTCTTCCTTGTACTCTATCCTGCTTTATGTTCACAAATTGCAAATTTCTCTCTCTCTTTCTCTCTCTCTCTCGCACGCACACACACACACACACACACACACACACACATGCATGTGCACACACTTTGGACATAGTGGTGGTTATTATCTATAAATCACTTATGTAAAAAGAATTCATTACATTTGGTTATCCATATCGGAAAATTGCGAACAAGTTTTATAGGAACTGTCTATATAATCAATATCTATTGAAATATATAGGTGTACCAAATGATTCATTGATCAACCATTAGGTGCAGCTGGATTAAATAATAGACAAATTGAACTGAACGAGAATAGATGCAAATCAAAAGTTTGATTGTAAGAGCTTTATGAAAGGCAGTTGAATGAATTATTTATATAGATGAAACACTTATTTTGTGTTGTGAAAAGGATATTTTGTGTATTGTACTAACACAGTTGAAAACATGCTGAAATGTTTGAAAAAAAGTGCACTTTTGATGATCTATTGTGATATTGGTACTAAGAGTTTTGAAAATGTACACCTTGTGAAAATAGTACCAAAGTGAATAAAAAAACTATTATCTAGATATGATAAATAAGAATAAATTGTAATATGCTTTTAAGTGTGCTAATTTGTCTAGGTGTAAGTCTGTCTCTCTGTCTATAATCCTATATCACTCTCTCTTCATTTTAGAGACTGGCAGAGCTTCCTGTGTGACTTGCCTACCTGGATTTTTCTCAGACTCTATATCAATAGAATCCTGCAAGAAATGGACAGAGTGAGTATGCCTCTCTATCTAAGCTTAAAAAGTCAATAACAGCTCTTATTAAAAAACTACAATAACAGCTCAATAGGTTTAACAACAGTTGGGAGTGTATGCCACAAAGATGCCTGTCCTATGAGTCACACATGCAGATCTATGCTTTAACAGGCCTCATTTGCAAAGTCACAGCTCTCATTCTCACAGGCGTTTTTTGTCTGGGGAAGGTCTCAGGCATGCTCTGTCATTTTTTAAAGCCCCCGCAGTCTTACCGCACTCTGGAATTATGATTAATTCCTTCACCACTTCCCCTAGAAAGAGCCCCTTTTCTTCTTTCATTTGTGGTTGCTCTTAGAGGAGAAAATTGAGACAGATCAACCCAGAAGTGACCAGGCTATTTCGCCTGATATGTCTGATTCTCTTCCAGTTGTAAAGCTATTGGCAAGACCGAAAAACAGCCAGGAAGCACTAAGACAGATGTAGTGTGTGGACTCCATTCTCCTGGTAGGTTATAAAAAATCTTTATGTTCAGCCTCATAGTTGTTGATTATACACTACCATTCAAAAGGTTTGGGGTTGATAAGTATTTTTGAAAGAATTCTCTTAAACTCTACTCACCGGAGCAACAATTTTTTGTTCACAAATACATTAAAAACAGCAATATTGTGAAATGATGTCACATCTTTTGGAAATCAACGCACCAAATTCTTGAAAGTACTGATAAAAATGTCTTTAAGGATATTCTAACTCCCCCCCCCCCCCCCCCCCCCCCCACCCCATTTATATATATATATATATATATATTATTCCTTAAAATCTGGCAATGTCAGATTACAATAAAAGTCAATGTAAAAATTGGTTAAAAAGTAGCTAAAAATGTCTAGGAACCCATATTTTATGTGTTGGCTGGTATCTGTAATGTCTGGGAGGATTAGTCTGGATGTGTTTCTTTGTTGCTCAAGCAGTTTCGCCTCTCATCCAAGAGCAATAAATGTGATTGAGCAACAGAGACAAACTTTACTAAGCCCTCTATGATGACCTGAATAACTGAGAACCTCCGAATAACGAATAAACCTAAACGTCCTCAGGTATGACACCCTGGGTGCTTGTGGCCATCCTCTCAGTCATCATCGTGGTATCCCTGGTCGTTCTCTTCTTGTTTTGCTGCAAAGATAAGCTGAACTTCCTCTCAGGTAAATGTTGTTCAGGATCATGTTTGTTTGCTACAATTTGTGGTAGATTCCTGTCTATCTTGTTAATTAAAGCTTATTCTCTGACTCCACAGTAAATCTACGCACCTGCGTCCAAAACCTAAAAGGAAGTAGGAATCGACAGGTAAGTAATAATATCTGAAAACTAGTTTCAAAACCTAGCGATGCATAAAGACTTACCAATCCTGCTTTCTTGTAGGAAACTGTGACAACTTCATATCACTTTAGAAACGGTCTTCAAACCCACCCTTTAATCTGCCAAGAAAGAACCCCTCCGGAGTCCCTGATCATGTGTCCCAGCACCAAATTGACCATCCCAGAAATGTCAGATTGCACGGACCAAGAACAGGACCAGGACCGAGCCGAAACCTCGTCGGGGAGCTCCAGCGTGGACTCCGGATGCGGGCCGTCGTCCCCCCTGTCAGGCAGCTCCTGCAGCTGTGTGCTTTCCATGAAGGAGCCCATAGAGGTCGGAGAGAACGAGGACTGCAGTCAGCTGGTAGCCACGGGCCTGGCGTCGTGCTGCTCCTGCAGGACAGGGGACGCCACAGGGAACGTGCAGGTTATCGGCCTGAAAGAGCCTCTGCTGTGTGAGAGCTGCTCGCTGGACGGCCTGCCCGCATGCGATTATGTGGATCTGCAGCGCTCGCAGGAACTCTATCTGGACTACAGCAGCCCTGCTGGCAAGGAAGCCATGTCGGAGATCAGAGGCGTCTACGGGGACCGAGGTTTGGTCGAGGGGCTGTATAGACAGAACGAACCTTGTTGCTGCAGCATAGACTCCACCACCGTTCCTCCTTTGCCGTCTGTCAGCGCTAATGACCAGGGCCTTTCACTGGTCCACAGCGACGACCACAAACTGTCGGACCCTGACGTGGAGTACCAGAACCAGTGCTCAGATGCCGCCCTCACATCTGGTAAGACATTAACACATGCAAAAATAGTGACAAAATAAATGAGAAGATGTCTGTGCATCTGAGGTATTCGAAGCTGTTGCTAGTCATAGTCCAGTACACAGGATTCTGTTGAACTCATTTGGCACGTTTATGCCAGATTTACAAGCACTGTCGTGCGATTCTATTCCAATTGGGCAAAAACAGTATGATATGATGAAAGTCATGACCTCTCAGTAATAGTGGGTTAAAAGTGCATTGTGGGAGTCATTTTGGAAACAGATGGCCGAGCTAGCAAACTGTATCAGCTGGTGTATTGCATTGATTTACTCACTATGTATTGCATTTCTAGATCACTGGATCCCTATGTGAAACCTTTAAAAGTGCCAGAAAACAGCCCTTATTATACAGTGGTGTGAATAAGTTATTACCCCCATGCTAAAGTTGCCTAAAAAGAGGAATAAAAAATCATCTTTTGGAAATTGATCTTAATGCCTTAATTAGAAAAATGAGGAAAAATCCAACCTTTAAGGACACCAATTTTCTTTGTGTATGAATAATGTATCATAAATAAATAAATGTTCTTCCTTAAAATACAGGGTGCATAAGTCAGGCCCCCCCTATGTTAAATTCCCATAGAGTCAGGCAGATTTTTATTTTTAAAGGCCAGTTATTTCATGGATCCAGGATAATATGCATCCTGATAAAGTTCCCTTGGCCTTTGGAATTAAAATATCCCACATCATCACATTCCCTTCACCATACCTAGAGATTGGCATGGTGTTATTTCAGTTAGCCTAATAGCTGGTTTGATTTGCATTGAAAGATGATCTTATGGAAAGTACCCCATGCCAATCTCTAGGTATGGTGAAGGGAATGGGATGATGTGGGTCTATTTTAATTCCAAAGGCCAAGGGAACTTTATCAGGATGCATATTATCCTGGATCCATGAAATAACTGGCCTTTAAAAATAAAAATCTGCCTGACTCTATGGGAATTTAACATAGGTGCCTGACTTATGCACCCTGTATTTTAAGGAAGAACATTTATTTATTTATGATACATTATTCATACACAAAGAAAATTGGTGTCCTTAAAGGTTGGATTTTTCCTCATTTTTCTAATTAAGGCATTAAGATCAATTTCCAAAAGATGATTTTTTATTCCTCTTTTTAGGCAACTTTAGCATGGGGGTAATAACTTATTCACACCACTGTATGTGTATGTTTCTTTAAATGTAACTACTACTAATAAATTAATATATAAATAATATTATATAATTGTATATAAAACATAATTATTTGTATAAATAATAGTAAAAATATATATAAAAATCTATTAAATAAATATGAATGAATTATATATATATATATATATAGAGAGAGAGAGAGAGAGAGAGAGAGAGAGAGAGAGAGAGAGAGAGAGAGAGAGAGAGAGAGAGAGAGAGAGAGAGAGAGAGAGAGAGAGAGAAGAAGAGAGGATGCAAGGACATATTAAATTGATCAAAAGTGACAGTAAAGACAATAAAATGTTAGAAAAGATCTGTTTACAAAAATGCCGTTCTTTTGAACTTTCTATTCATCATAGAATCCTGATAAAAATGCATCACGGTTTTCACAATAAAATATTAAGCAGCACAACTGTTTTCAACATTGATATTAATAAGAGATGTTTATTGAGCAGTGAGCACCAAATCAGGATAATAGAATGATTACTGAAGGATCATGTGACACTGAAGAATGAGTAAATTGCCATCACAGGAATAAATCACATTTTAAAATATATATTTTTTTAAAAACAGTTATTTTAAATTGTGATAATATTTCACAGTATTACTGTTTTTATTGTATTTTTCATTTTAAAAAGTACAATCCCCACCCCCCCACCCCCCAATACATTTTTTTTTTTACATTTTATATCATTTATTATTTAGATTTATAATCATAAGTATTGGCAAAATAAATGTTTCCATTTCAATAACGTTATTTCAAAGTGTCTGTTTTACTCGTATTCCATCCTATTGTTATTAATTATATCTCTGCAAAGGAAGTACACAATGTATAAACGTGTAGCTCATTAGTATTATTCAGTAATTCCTTATGTAAATACACAGTAACCTGAACACTATAATATAACGCATTACATCTTGTATTAATAATTAGAACAAGCACATTCAGGTCATGTGCATTCCAGTAAGTCGTGTTTGTGAAAACATGGCAGGCAGCCACAGCAAAGAGTGGGAGTAGGGTCCATTATGGAATAGCGGCAAATGACTAAAAGATGTGTGAAATGTGAGTCACTGATAGTCTGTGTGTATATTCGGAGAGAAAAAAAAAGGAACCATACAATCTGCCCATGTTGAAGTTTTAAGTGGAAGGAAGCTGGTTCGTTGCTCAAAAGGGATTGACACAAAAACAGCTTTTTTTGCCATGTCAGTGCTTATGTGGCATTATTAGCTTCCAGTTTGTAATGTAGACTATTTATGGAGACCACTAAACATCTAAAGTAGCAGTGCAGCGTATTCACACGCAAGACATCAGCAAGACTACAAAGCCGTTTCCTTGTATGTCTAAATAATATGGTTACATTAATATGCTAAATGTTTACCCTTGAAAATGTTCCTGTTCAACTTCCAGGAGTGTTAATCAGGGTTAATGTTAATAGTGTTGTAACATAAAAGTTTGTAAATATATAAGTTTTGTTTATTTAATATATGTGTGTATATATATATTATTACATATAAATATATATATATATATACAGTGTTGGTCAGAATTATTTGCCCCCTTGGTAAATATGATCAAAGATGGCTGTAAAAAATAAATCTGCATTGTTTATCCTTTTGATCATTTATTGTTAAAAAATACAAAAATCGAACCTTTTATTGAAGTAAAAGAATTGAAAGGGGGGGGGGGGGGGTCACATTATGAAATAAATGTTTTTTCTCTAAAACACATTGGGAACAATTATTTGCCCCCTTTTATTAAATACTTTTTGCATCCTCCTTTTCCAAGAGAACAGCTCAGAGTCTTCTCCTATAATGCCTGATGAGTTTGGAGAACACCTGACAAGAGATCAGAGACCATTCCTCCATACAGAATCTCTCCAGATCCTTCAGATTCCCAGATCCATGTTGGCGCTTCTTCTCTTCAGTTCAGCCCACTCATTTTCTATAGGGTTCAGGTCAGGGACTGGGATGGCCATTGCAGATGCTTGGTTTTGTGCTCATGTGACCCATTCGTCCTGTTGGAAGATCCAAACATGGCCCATTATAAGATTTCTAGCACAGACTGTCAGGTTTTGATTTTTTACCTGTTGGTATTTGATCGAATCCATGATGCCATATATCTGAACAAGATGTCCAGGACCTCTGGCAGGAAATTAGGCCCGCAGCATTAAATATACAGCAGAGTATTTCATTTTACACATGGGGTACTTTTTTTGTTTCATCTGACCATAGAACCCGTCCCGTTTGAAGTTCCAGTAGTGTCAGTTACTTTTCAAACGTTCTATGGACATATGAAACAAAACAAAAAAAGAGCTTTTTGGCAGCAAACACTTAATACGGGTTTGATTCATACAGGAATAAAAAAGTACCCAAACTCATCAGGCATTATATGAGAAGACTCTGAGCTGTTATCTTGACAAAAGGAGGATGCAAAAAGTATTTCATAATAATAATTGTTCCCAATGTGTTTTGGAGAAAAAACATTTATTTCATAATGTGATTTTCCCCCCACTTTCAATTCTTTTCTTCAATGAAAGGTTAGATTTTTGCTAATTTTTGTAATAAAATATCAAAAGGATAAACAATACAGATTTATTTTTTACAGCCATCTTTGATCATATTTACCAAGGGGGCAAATAATTCTGACCAACACTGTATATATATATGTGTGTATATATATTTATGTGTATATGTATATTTATACACACACCCACACACACACACACACACACATATAAATATATACGCAGATTACGCACATATATTATATAAACCTTTTATGCAATTTCGATGCAATTAATCGATTTGACAGCAATATATATATATATATATACATACACACACATTATATATTTACAAACTTTTATGTTAGATGCGATTAATTGCGATTAATCAATTTGACAGCACTAAAAATATATTTATTTATATAAATGAAACCAAACAAAAATGAGAAATTAGCTGAAATAAAATAAGTTTTGTTGAAGTACTAAAATTACAACAACAACAAAAATATTTAAAAAAATGAATTTAGTAAATATAAAAATAAAATCCAATTCAAAATATTAACAAAAACTATAATAGTATATCAGTGGTACTAAAATAACTCTGGTGTTAATTTGTCTCCAGGAAAGGAATGAATATTTAGTTCATGGAAATATTGCATACTATTTCTGCCACCTTCCGCTAACACCAGTTCTGATGCGTTGCCTATTTTTGTCAGGTCAGGTGACAGGAAACAACAACACTACTTTTATCTCCAGCGGGCAGGTGATGAACTTCAGCGGTGAGGTCATCGTGGTCTACGTCAGTCAGACATCACTGGGCAGCAGCGGGGGGACAGACGAACCCTTCAGCTGCCCGGTTCAGGAACAATCTAATGAGGACAGCTTTCCAAATGAGCCCAAATCTAACACAAGCACAACACCGCAGGCCAAGAGCACAAACGGACACGTGGAAAAACACCTGCCCGTACAGGAAATGACTAACGACGGGTCCTGGCAGAAATAAAAAAAGATGCAAACATTTCCTACTGGACAGGAATGGACTTTTTTAAATGATTATTATTGATTTAATGTTCTCCGTATGAGTGCTATTTCATGAAAAAAAATGCTATGCATTTGTTGACCTACGTATTTATATAGTATAAATTGGGTACTTGTCAGCTTTGAGAGGATTTCTATGGTGCGGATGCTATTGATCTGATGACAGTATAAGTCCAGAACATTGATTTCAGAATAAAAGGTGGCTTGGTGCGACATGAAGCCAAACTCAGGCCACAAACGTAGCCACCACAACAAAAGCTTGAAGTTTTTCGTTGTCCCTTTCTCTTGGCCTTCTCTGAAACTGAGCTATCGTCCCGTACCTCATGGCAAGAACCGTTTTATGGTGTTGTTAAATCTCAGACTAGTTAGTAACATGGAAATGACAAATGGGGATGTTGATTTGTGGTGTTTATATTTTTTTAAAAACTATTTGTTAATCATTTTTTTTGTTATTTATCGTGCCTTTTTTGTGCCAAGTCAGTCTGACTGGAGCAGAACATGTTATCACGGACATAATTCACAAATATAATGTATAAAGTGATTGAAAAATCAATGTTCTGATACACGAATAGTGATTTTCTCCACCCATTACTGTAAATAAAGCTTGTTTGTATGAAACAGTGTCTTTCCCTTAAATGAGTGTGATGGTATGAGAAAGCTATTTGGTTTAGTGATAAGCTGTGTTTATTGCTTGTGCATCACTATAACCACATGTGCGATAAAACCTCAGTATTCGAGCAAAACCAATGTTGACATAATGCCTATATAAATAGCTGTGAATCGCTAGCAGCTGTCGCGAGCTCAATGCAAACACAAGTACAGTGTTTAGCCACATGAGGTGAGAATTCCACCAAAGGCTGCTGGACGTTCAGCTGTGATTGGGATAATCACGACTCTGGGCTGGCAACAGAAACAAACAATGAAAATTGTTGATGAGTTCTGTCTGCCAAAACAGGAAGTTATGGCTGGTTTTTAATGTGGTTCTGCTCAAGGAGACTTCAGGCACATTTGATGACTCGTGACAAACAATGAATGTTGATTTGAATTGTCCTGCCATCTAGTGGAACGCTATTGTAATAAGTGTAGGAATTTGTCGAAATGGATCCACTAGTGAGGGACCCCCTAAAAAAAATAAAAAAAATAGTGAGGGACCCCCTCAAGGCAGATCTATTTATAGAAAAATAATAATATTAAAAAAACATAACATTTTTAAGAAATTTTGGTTACACTTTATTTGGTAACACTTTATTTCACAGTGTCCTTGTGACATGTTACATGTAGTTACTGTAGTAATAACTATAAATTATGCATAATTACATGTTACTAACCCTAAACCAATCCTAACCCTAACCCTATAGTTAGTACATGTAGTTAATTATTATTACTCAGTACTTAAATGTAGAATTACACTGTAACACGGACACCTTAAAATAAAGTGTAACCCTTTATTTTAAGGTGACGTAGTTACATTGTAGCCTTCTTACTCATTTAAGTACAAAGTAATATTAATTAACTATATGTACTTATAGAGTTACGGTTAGTGTTTGGTTAAGTTACTTGTAGTAATGCATCATTTACTGTTATTACTAGTAAGAAAATGTAGTAGGCTAATGTGACACCTTAAAATAAAGTGTTACCAATATTTTTGTTACAGAAATGAATTTTCAATTGAGTTCAAATTTGTTTGTATTTTTTCAGTACAATGTTATTTGTAATTTTCATAATAAATATTGTTCAGAAGCACTATAGATCATTTTGCCTATAGTGAGCAAACTAAAGATGACAGTGGTAAGGGGGAAAATAAATAAGATAATCTAGCATATGTCCTTTTTATTTTACTATTTAAAAAAAAAGGATGTAAAAACTCTCATATTTCCTGGACCCCCCAGCATCTTGAAACAACTTGGATTAAATAAATCAATCCTTCAATCTGTCAATAAATGACATGTAAACTAAATTCTTACACATATCATCTGGTCATCAAGATGTGTTAGGTGTGTGTGTGTAATATACACATATTATGTGTAAACAAACTTTTACATGCGATATCGTGATTAATCGATTTGGCAGCACTATATATATTTCTTTTATATTCTTTTTTTAAATTAATAATCCACTTTGGCTAATTGAATATGACTGCTCTTATCTGCAGAGAATTGGGAATCTGGGGGAAGCCCACTGAAAAAGAGATCTGGATCATTTTTCTCCCGTTGGTCACTGTCAAGGGTGTCACTGTCAGTGATCCTCACATGTTCCAGTCATGTCCTAACAGATCATGTGCTATCAGGTGATGGGAGAACCCCAGGTTTTTGGACACAGGTGCTCCTCCGGCTTGGCTGGAAACTACCTGATTTTTTTTAAGATGAAAAATTGAAGTTTGAAGAGTTTCCCATCATTAAAGATCGAACAGGCATTGGTGTGTAGTTTTTGGCCATTTAAACGTTCACTCAAATCTACTGTGGTTGCCAAAGGATGTTTATGTGAAATAAAACAGCAGTGCCTTTGACAAAAAATACCGCTATTGATTTAGTGTTATAAGAATGGAAAGTTCTTTAAAATCAAGTGAAACATTTTGCCGGTGGGGATCATTTTGTGTAAGAGTTTCCTGGAATATGTTCAGTGAGTGTAGCCAGTAGGTCACACACACACACACACACACACACACACACACACACACACACACACACACACACACACACACACACACACACACACACACACACACACACACACACACACACACACACACACACACACACACACACACACACACACACACACACACACACACACACACACACACAGACACTGCTTTATTTAGCAGCGCGGCCTTTCAGATATATGCAGAGTATAAAGCGGATCAATTTATTTTGCATGCAAAACATGATCAATTGGTTCTGACCTCAGTAAAAAGAAAGGGGATTTTCTGTCCTCCTTATTCGAGTACAAATGACACTCGAGCATTTATTATGACACTCTGTATCATGAGAAGCTGTGAAAAAGATCCTTCTAGCTGGTTCACATGTAATGAAACTTTTGAGAAAATGAATGTGTTAAGGTAAGGTGCTTTTTATTTAATCAGTATATTGAACTTGATTGAGAGAGATTGAAATTTAAAGTATCAATTATTATTTCGGATTTTAATACAAATTTATTTGTTTTTCATTTTAAATAATCGGTATAATAAACTTATATTGAAATATATGATTTTGGATTATTCTTTTTTTATTAATACAAATATTTGTTTTTAGTTTAAATAATCAATAAAATGAACTTGAATAATAGAAATTAAAATGTATTTAGTCATTTATTATTATTATTATTAATAATAAAAATGTATTTATTTCAATTTTAAACAATCAGTGTGATTAAATTGATTAAGAGAAATTTTAATATTTATCATTATTACAAATGTACTTATTTTATTTTAAATAATCAGTATACTCAACTTGATTAATAGATATTGAAATGTATATTATTTTTTATCATAAATAATTTATTTTAATAATATTAATAATCTGTTTATTTTATTTTAAATCATCAGTATAATTAACTCAAGGGATATTGGAATATTAGCAATTATTATCATTAATTATAATTAATAATAATGTGTTTATTTTATTTTAAACAATCGGTATAATTAACTTAACAGATACTGAAACATTAGCATTTATTACAATATTATTAATAGAAATGTTTTTAAATTATTATTATTATTAGTAGTAGTAGTATAAATTAAATTATTGTAAAAATGCGTAGGCCTATAACATTAAAATACACATATAAACATTAATATTTTCCTTTAATATTCATAATGGTTGTATCTGACATCTGCCTTTGAAGGGTATTGCTTATTAGCCTATTATTTATTATTTTCAGAGGGCTTTTCATCAAAAGATGGTCATCTGATATTCGGTTAGATGGAAAAACTGCTATAGTGACTGGAGCAAACACTGGGATTGGGAAAGAAACGGCGAAGGACCTGGCAAAGCGGGGTGGGTACTGTGGCCAAAAACACATCGAGCCTTCCTTTCATATTAGAGGCACAGATGAAATATAATAAATATGACTGCATAGCCATTTGATCTGATATTTACGCCTATCCAGAATATGTTTTCCCTGAAATTGCTCAAAAGAATGTACGAGTTTTTTTTTTTTTTTCAAATAATGGAACAAAGCGTGTCATTAATCCCGAGGCGCGCGGGTGATCCTGGCCTGCAGAGACATGGTGAAGGCTGAGCAGGCCGCCAGTGACATCAGCAGAGACGTGGACAACGCCATCGTGGTGGTTCGGAAACTGGACCTGGCCGACACTAAATCCATCTGTGATTTTGCTGAACTGATTTACAACAGTGAGTTATGGTTGAAGAATTGTTTTCAAAAATGATATATATAATGTAAATATGCATCAGATTTAACTCTTATCTGACGTTTAAAATCGTTATTCTATTTTATTTTAGCGGAAAAGTCTCTTAATTTGCTGATTAATAACGCTGGAGTGGCAATCTGCCCATATTCCACAACAGCAGACGGCTTTGAGACACAGTTTGGAGTCAATCATTTAGGTATGATGAAGTGCACTCGTCATTCTCATTCTTTCAAACAATATCAAAGAATCCTTATTTGTTGTTAAGCAGCTATAGAGTTTGTTCACACTTGACATGTGATGTATGACTCCTTTTCTTCTTCAGGACATTTCTTTCTCACGTTCCTCCTAATGGATCTGTTGAAGCATTCAGCTCCTTCTCGAGTGATTAATGTCTCCTCACTGGTTCACCCCATGGGAAAGATCCACTTTGAGGACCTGAACGGTGAGAAAGGCTATCATCCCGTGAAGGCCTACGTACAGAGCAAACTGGCCAACGTACTTTTCACACGAGAGCTGGCCCCGAGAGTGGAAGGTAAGAGCCAGCATGTAATCATGCATAAACATAGGCCTAAGTGAGATCCGAAAATCTGATTCCACATCAAATCTAGGATTTATTTATGTTTTGGGAATCTGGAGGAAACCACCTTTAAAGGGGCAATTCACACAGAAAAACGCTTACGTAGAAAGTTTTAAAGGAGCAGTAAGCGATTTCTGAGAATCATTGTTAAACACTGTTGTCATCAGGATCCATCTGTTGTATCCTTCATTGCACGGGAAACGAAGGACACATTTGGTGGCTGCATTTGAAGAAGGATGCAGCCTCTGAATTGGGACGCAGCTTTAAACTCGCTATCGCAACTCGCAACTGCGATAATGCAAAAAAGTAGCAAATTACCTTTTGTGGTTAAAAACGTGAGATGCATGTCAGTGGAACAAAAAACGCAAGAGCTAGAGACGCGTTTTTTAAAAGTTGAACTTCTTTTGGTGTCGTGCACGAGACAATGGAAAACAGTGGAATGCAAAAACGCATTCTGTGTGAATGGCCCCTAAACAGACGCCCCTATACGGACATGCTTGACCCATTGCAGCTTCTCATGCATGATACAGCATTCCAAAAATCTAGTGTTTAAGCTAAAAGTAGTTCAACTTTTAAAAAATTGTCTATAGACCTTGTGTATTTTTTCCATTCCACTGCCCTGCATGTCACATTTTAAACACAAAAATGGGTTCTGCATGAATGGCGCATGAGTGTCCAAGATGTCAATCGTTCCCCTTTTATTTTCAGGGTATGTGACTAAATGGTGACTGAAAGTGAATCTTCACTTTTGGCTGAACTATCCCTTTAAGGAGATCAAAAGTTTCACAGGGAGATGGGCAAACCTTCCAAATAATGTGTTGCTAATTGATCAGTATGCTATCCTAACATGACTGTCCCATGTTTTACCCACAAACATTCTTCATTAAGGCAATAAGAGCGTTCTTGCACACTTTTCATTCTTCTAACTGTGGCTCATGTAGAGTGATGTTTCTGTGGCAGCGATGGGAGTGAGTGTTTATGCTGTGGATCCAGGCCTAGTGAAGACAGAGATCGTCAGGCATCTGAAGAAGACTCTGCAGGTCTGTGTGAAGACATTTGGTTTCCTGATAAAAACCCCTGCAGAAGGCGCATATACCACTCTGTACTGTGCCGTTACTCCTGGCCTGCCCACTGGAACCTACTACAGGTTTGTCAGAACTAGAATACAGTATAGCTGATGCTAGCTGTTGCACTCATGAAATAATAACCTCAATGGTCATCTTTCCCATAAGCAAGCACTATTGTTCACAACATGGTTTTTATTTTGTGTTAGGAATGCTAAATTTGGCAGTAATCAAATGAACTCTGAGTTCCCTCACGCTAACTGTTTAGTAAAATATTTTGTCTCATGATCTCTCACAGTGACTGTGCCGTGGCCCCGTGCTCCAGGGCTGCGGATGACATGAACACTGCGAGCAGACTGTGGGCTGTCAGCTGCCACCTGCTGGGGATTCGTTGGAAATGAGAAGATATGACTTCCACCTCAGCCCTATTTCATACTAATGCCCTTTTTATGAGTTATTACAACCCAGTTTCAACAGCAGCCCAGTTGACTATGCTGGTCCACCAGCTAGACCAAAAACTTGCCCCGTGTATCGTCACCTTTAGACTAGTAGTCAATCATCTAATTTTTTTCTTCAAGACTGGTCCTAATTTTTTTACATTAAAAGGTAGTTTTGTCTAGTTTGAATTTGATAAGTAAAACTGATTACCTGATTACCTGTTTTATCTAATAGTGGCTAATTTTGTGCAACTGGCCCCAGCACTAGCACTATTCCAGCTCAATCCAACATAAACCAACTTGGACCAGCAAATTCATGCTGGTTTATCCTGTATTTTTCAGCAAGGTATGTGATTATTGAAACATGTTGCGTAACTTTCTTATTAAAAGCAGCTAATGGCTAAAGTGAGTTTATTGTCATTTGACATTAGACAAATAGACATAGGTAGGCTAGCTATGCCTGGTAAACACAGTAGAAAAATAAACGAAAGCTAAATAATAGCCTACTGTGTTAATGGGATATAAATGTCTTGGCTAAAGTGGATAGAAAATGTCAAGTAGCCTAATATTAAGTGACATTAGTAAGGATAGGTGCAAACGAGAGCAGATAGAAAACAAAATATACAAAAATGTTCATGTTCATTTAACGATTTACCGTCACTAATAAAGTATCTTATTCTTAAATTGAATTGCATTGGTTCTCTGAGGTACAGTAAGACAATGTTCAGTGTATTGTGAATAGTTCGTGACGAGAAACATCAGGCTGACACAACAAGGACATCTAGTGGATACACGCGGTCACTGCTTTTGCGCAATTTGACTCATTTTTAAGTGGGTGACGTAATTGTATTGTGTGTTCTGGTGACGTGTAGCGGAATGTCCAACCTTGCAAAAAAAGATTCAATTCAACTAAGCGGAGGTCAAGGCCATCACAGCGAGCGCATTCCTGCGAGCGGCGGGAGCCTGAACGGTCTTCATATTGATCTCAGTCGCGTTTCATTGGCCAGAGGACAGAGCTCTGGACGGGAGGGGCTTGGATTCGGACCGCATAGTAATATCTCATTCATAAATTACACAGGACGCTAGAGTAGAGCACTACTGTCTGCTGAGGGGAACCAGACAATATTGGAACAATGCACTCAATAAGGTAAGTAATGCGGAGTCTGAAAAACTGTATTGATACACATTTTCTTTTCGCCAAAGTGTTCATAACTGGATAAATGGGACCCAACACTGTTTTTAAACAGTATTTTTAAACAATATAATTATTTAAATGCCAATTACTATACCTGTACTGGATTATACCAGCTGATTTAATTTAAATATATGAGAACGGGGCTAGTTGTCACACGAGAAAGTTGTCATAAGGGCTGCAATCTCAGTCAGCAACTGAGATTTGATAAAAGTGAGTTTGTATGTTGGTTTCAAACACCTTCAAACCTTAAATTAAGTTCAATTTTAAGAGTATTGAGTTGCTACAATATTTATAGGTCAAAACAACGGTCTGATATTTCAGAAAGTTAGGTTTTTACATTATAAGTTAAATTTTACATTTTTAACTACCTTAAACTTTTTAACTGCCTTAAATTTAAGTACAATCAACATGGATGTTTAAGTCATTATTGCATTAAACTGACTTTAAAAAATGAGTTAAATCTTGTAGCCTATAACATAAAAAAGTTGAAAATTGCTAAGTTAAAACAATGTAAAAAAGAAATGTTGTCATAACTTATTGATCCTATAATGTTTTACAGTGTGCATTTACTTAATTCCTGAGTAATAACAATGATACAACAAAATACACTGGAGTGACAACTAGCCCCGCTCTCACCTCACTTCAGGTATTCACTATGATATATAAACATTTGCTCTGAAATCAATTCCAGAAATTTCTTCTGTGGTCAGTGGAGCTCTTCTGTACGTCTTGATAATAAAACAGTCATAATCACAGGAGCTAATACGGGCATAGGCAAAGAGACAGCGAGAGACCTTGCCAGAAGAGGTAAGGAACTAACAGACCTCGTTTTAGTTTTCAGGACATACGTCTCAACTCAATCTTGACCTTAAAATTGGAAAACCTTAAAAATGCTCCGAATGATTTGATTTGTTCTGTTCGAAGCACATGCTGTGAACGGCATCGACTGCCAACCTGTTACGGGACAAAACCATGCCATGTGTGATGCCACTCTAATTAGAAGTGGGGTATGGGGAGGTTAGCTGGAACAATTGCAATCTGTCACACTGTATTTGCACTATTATTGCCATTGACAAAATCATTTTGGATTCTTATTTCTCTTTAAAATATTGTGTAAAATCAGCATGATCTGGGACTATAATAACAACTGCAAGGACAAATCATACTCCGTGTCCTAATGTCAAATGTGATACAAATAAAACAGCAAATACTTCATCTTATAATAAATGACAGGCTCTTGGAAGCTTTGAATGTATGCCGATAAATAAACATCAGGATTACAATACTATCTGCCAAAGAGATGTAAAACTGTACACTTTCCCACATGGACCCTCTGAATTCCAACAAAGAAACTCTGATGCTTGCCAGCCAAATTGCTCTGAATAGAATAATAGGCGTTCTGCACAGTAATTACCAGGCAAACAGCTATTGTGTTAGCTCATCAGCCTTATATCCCAGTTTAACACCGAATGAATTATTATGCAAGGACATTTCAGAGCAAGGACGTTTGCTGGAATATATAAACAGAATGATTTCAGATCCATGAAGGATAGCTATACTCTGTTTTGTGGCTTTTTGCACTGGAAAGCACATTTCTATCAGCTTCTTTATGATGTCCTCAGGGGCTCGGGTCATCATGGCCTGTCGAGACCTGGAAAAAGCAGAGTCCGCCAGAGGAGAATTGATGGAGGATTCTGGAAACCAAAACATTGTGGTGAAAAAACTTGATTTATCAGATACCAAATCCATCAGAGCATTTGCAGAACTCATAAACAAGGGTGTGTAAGACATCTGACTATTACTTTAAATGCATTGTTATGTGTGTATTTCCTTGGAGTAAGGGACATTCATATAATTATTGTATTCATATTAAGATTACACATTTATATGAATAGTATTAATATAGTATAATATAATATTTATGCAATTTGCTAATGGGTCTTTATTCATATTTTTTTTGTATTTTAGAGGAGAAGCAAGTTAACATCCTGATCAACAATGCTGGAATCATGATGTGCCCATATTCAAAAACTGCAGATGGCTTCGAGATGCAGTTTGGTGTAAACCATTTAGGTAAAGACTTTGTTATCTTACTGTGTGTACATGCATACACTCTCTACAGTAGTCTACAGTGTTATTGTCACAAATTGAGGTTTGCGACAGGTGAAATAAAGAGATGGATTTACGCACAGCAGTGCAGATTTAATAACAAAATTCGAAGATAATAAAAATACTCAGGATTTCTCACAAATAACTTATGAACCATCAAACACATGGACGTGAACGGTCCAAGAACTGAACAAAACAGAGTTTAAATAGACCAAGTTAATCAAACATCCTGAAGCCAAGGAGACAAAACAAGAGCAGGAACAAGGACACAGAAAACAGAGCAAAACAACTCACTGTAAAACAAGCAGATAACCCTGAATGATAAACAGAACAGATAAACAGAACAGAACCCTGACAATTATGATGATGAATTTTATATCCTCTATTTCTTTTTGAAATAGGAAGTTTGGACAGGACATGTTGAAGGAATTTTCTTTTCAATTAGCCAATGGGCTTTGGTAATATCATTCATGGCCATAAAAAGATGCATCTGAAATTGTGTACATTTCATGAAAAATTTCCTTTCCAATAATAAGGTGTATCGTATAAAATATATTTCAAAAGTCTCATGCTCAGCAAGGCTGCATATATTTGAATAAAACGACAGTAACAACAGTAATATTGTGAAATATTGCTACATTTTAAGGTGACTGTTTTATATTTTAACATATTTAAAAATTGAATTTATTCCTGTGATGGCAAAGCTGAATTTTCAGCATCATTACTCCATTCTTTAGTGTCACACGATCCTTAAGAAATCTTTCTAATATGCTAATTTGCTGCTCAAGAGACTTGGAAACAAAACAGTTGTACTGCTTAATATTTTTGTGGAAACTGTGCTACGTATTTTTCCAGGATTTTTTGATGAATAGAAAGTTCACAAGAACACAATATTTTGTCCGTAAATGTCTGTATTTTGACATTCAAGCCGAGGCAATTTTACAAATATCTGCGGCAATTTCAAATAATTATCAACACGTGTTTTGTGGATGTAAACACTCATTATGACTCAGGAAAAAATAAGACTATTAGTCAAATTAGATTTCCTGTATCTAATCCATAATGTTACTCTTTCTGACCAGTAAACCAAGTCAATAAAAGCGACTTCTTTTAAATTAAGCACAAATTGTGTTTGGTTATAGACTACCCCTATGTAAAAGGCAACCTTGTTTCACAGAGGAAGTCTCAGACTTAATGTGGAGTAGTGACCCTGTAAATTGACAGTGTGTGCTGTTTAGTCGTTTATCAGCCCAAGCTGGCTTCCTGTAGGAACCTAAACACTCACATACAGTACACATCTTTTCCATATACATCCACTTCCATGCATTTAGGCTATTGAGTATCAACAGGACATGAGGGACAATGAAAGGTACAACCCCTGACTATTTTTATCTTCAAACTACCAACAGGTCATTTTCTGCTCACCTACCTTCTGCTGGACCTCCTCAAGAAATCAACCCCCTCCAGGATCATAAACGTAGCTTCTGTGGCCCATACGTGGGACAGCATCCATCTGGATGACATAAACAGTGAGAAGGGTTACTCTCCGCGGAGGGCTTACGGCCAGAGCAAGCTAGCTAACATCCTCTGCACACGCTCCTTGGCTAAAAGACTGCAGGGTATGTGACCTTCATAGCAAGGCTATCAGTGCTAGACTAAACATGATCCTTAAGGACACAAACTAAAGTCTTGTTTGTCTTCTCTATCCTTGATTTGGTATGCAAGTACAACAATGACATTAG